TACATGGTCTCCCTATTTGACTGCAAAGAAGTGCTGTTATTTCTCTATGTGCACATTATAGAAACAGTTACCAAAATACTTTCTGAATTCCTGCCCAAGTTGTTTTTCTGTTGGTTTGGTTTGGTTTGGTTGGTTGTTTTTTTGTTTTTTTTTTTTTTTTTTTGTTTTTTTTTTTTTTTTTTTTTTTTTTTTAAAAAAAAAAAAAAAAAGGAAAACTTTGGAAAGGTCTTAAAGAGAAAAGATAAATTATTAGAGACCTTTTAAGTAAGCCTTACCCTGCAAGAATGTTTTATTTATTTAATATGTCCAAGGGAAGGGTGTTTAAATGACCTCCAACCTCTTGTATGGAGGTATTATTGCAGATACAGGACTTTCTTGTTTAGCAGAAAATGGTATAGTGGTATGGCAGAGAGTGGAAATTGAAGTTAAATAAATTAATGCTATATATACGTGAAGTAGTCGGCAATTGAAACAAGCTGATCTAAAGGCTTGTGAATTTTCCAGTTTTTAACATCTCAGTTTAAAGACTGGATGTCTTTCTAAATTCATGCTCCACTTCAACCAGAAGCTTGCTGTAGGGATTACCGGGTAATGCTCTATGGCTTATGTTAAGAAGGGACTCAAATTAGCTGGAAAATAACAGCTCCTTCTGTTCTTAAAATCTGTGACTCATCCAAGAACTTTTCTACCAAACCCACAGAAGATAAGAATGAAGACTGCAAATATTTCTGAAGGGCAAAAAAAAAAAAAAGCAAATAATCCCTCTAAAAAACCCACATACTTATTTGAGGATTTCAGCAATATCTTGAAAATATAATGTACAGCTGAACTGTCACGTCACTTGTATACAGAGAAATTTGCTAAAAAGCTGTAACACCAGTAGCATTTCTGGCACATCCCTCTGAAGCACTGTTTTGTGCAGTGTCAGCCTCACTCCTGCCTTTTCCACCCACCAACCTAACTCCTCACTCTCGCACTCCTTTTATCACTTCTCTTATCATTATGTTCTTTTGTTGTTTTGTTTTGTTTTTTTTTTTTTTTTTACTGTTGACATTATCAGGCTCAGCTTCAAGAGACACTTCTCTCTGGTGTTGTAAGGCTACTTATGCATCCTTCCCTTGCACACATGGAACAGGCAGTCAGGAGTAATGCAGAGTCATCAGGAAAAGACCAAAAGATCCTGGTGGGATGGAGTGACCTAGGATCCTGCTGCTAGTACCAGCCACCCTGACACATGCTAAGACCTACAGCCCAAATAATGAGCACAATAGTGTATTCTTCAGGAGCAATCCTCTGTAGCCTATGTCAGCACTTCAGCAGTTCTTGCATTTTACGAGTGAATCCATGTGGTAAAATGGTAGGAATCTCATGTGCAAAGTGGGCAACAGAGGAAAACAAGCTTGATACCAGTGTGAGGAAAGTTCCTGCAAAAATGTGCTAAGAGTGAAACTCTGAAAAATTTAAAGTTTTCAATGAGATATAGGAACTGTAATGCTCATTCTCAAACTAATGAGTTGGGATAAAACTCACTGAAATGAGTTTAATTTGTTGACAAGTTGGATTGTGTTGGCGTAACTCATCTCAGTGACTTCAGCATGCTCATAGAGTGAGAGAGAGAAGGAACAAGCTGAAAGTATGTTTGTGATTTTGTTCATGTGCAGACGTTTTTCCCAGGTGGGCACACTCAGAGGCAGCTATGCACTCCAATCCATTTGGCTGCCCACAGCTGCAGGTTTATTCTTAGTTTCAGGAATGCTAACCCTCTCAGGCATGGAGATGGCTTCATGTCAGCTAGGAGACAGATTTTTCTCCTTGAAACATTTCTCTCTGTGGATGGGTGGGTTTCCTGATGAGGTGGATGAGGGGAATATAGTAACTTCTGATTTCCAGTCCATGCATTTCATCCCCTGACAGTCACTTGAGGTATCAAAAAGACTTGCCTGGATTAGACTGGTCTTGTTAGTTCAGTAACCTGTAACTATGTGCAGTGCAATATGTTTCATTAAGAAGCTCTACTATAGGCATTTATGGGAGAAAATAATTCCATATTCCTTACCCAATAACTAGAATTTTTCCAAGACACAGTTATATTGTCATATGAGTGAAGCGCAAGATAAAGCCAAGGTCCTTCTGTTCTGCAACCTTGTGAAGAAAAGTGTGAGGACACATGGAGCAGGTTGGGCTGACTAGACTGATGCTGTACTGACATGCTGGCATAGTTTGCATCTCAGCCCACAGGCCAGGATGAGAACTGGTGCTCATGATGCCATACTACTTGTGGACATACAGTGATAAGTCAAGGAAGTCAAGGTGATGTGCTGTGTGGCCTTACAAACCTTAATCTTTGTAAGCTCAGGCCTCTCTATAATACCTGCTCTGGCACATGGTAGAGATTTGCTCTTTGGCTAAGCCAAGACCAGCAGAATAAACTCAGACAAACACAAGGACCATAAAAAGATCCTGCATTTCTCCCTCCATCAACCAGGAGCACAAAGCATCTTGCTTTGACATATTTACCCCAGCAAATCCAGAACAATATGCATGCGTAGTCTAGAAACTTCTTCCAGCCATTCCAGTGCACAGAATCTTCTCTGAGAACAAACATGTACCCAAAATTATCCTGCTCTTCCCTGGGAAAGCATTCAGGTCTTAATATAACAAATGCAGAAGAACATAATTCAGGCCAGAATATCAAGGTTTCTATTTCTTTAAAAAATTGATGGATTATAGTTTACTTATTTAGCCTTTATTACTATGTCTGAAAATCCTGAGAGATGCTGAATATCCTCCTACCCAATATCTTTCCTTTGGACATCAGTCTCTTAAACATGTGCAAACTTTTGTCCTTTCTACCTACTAAGCCCTGCTTAGTCAAGCTGTTCAGTGAAGTCATTACTAAAACTTCTCTTCTATTTTTAACCTTCCATATTCTTAAGATTTTCTTAAGCATTACAAGCTCCAGCTTATGCCTCATGACAATGTCTCATTAAAATGACCTTACTGCTCAGATCTTTATGTAGTACAACCATCCATTGCTCAGCTGAAGTCAACGAAGGGACACTGATTTATGAGATCTGTCTGTTCATTATCTTCATTTCTGTTAACTGACCTTTCAAGGAAAATGAGCATAGAGAAGGAAAAAAACTGACATAGGAGTAAGACAAAACACATTATGAAGATGAACAGGGGTTCCACCTTGCTGAACACAAGTATTTCACTTGAAATAAAAACCCTAGGGAAATAAGGACATGTTGATATTCTTCAACCAGTTTCTAAAGGAACTATAATAAAATATAAATTTCTGTAACAAGCAAGCAAATTTGCACCAATTAATGATGCTATAAGCAGAAATCTATTGTTCTTAAGAACATATGCAAACTTCTCTTCCAGTTAGATGCCAAAGTTTGGCTGATTTTGTATATTAGAGGAATAAATTGATCTTGCCAAGTAATGTGGCTGAAAACAAGTATCATTTTGTGACGCAAGGCCACTATAACTTCAAATAGCAATAGAGCTCCATACGACAAGCTATTTGTTGTATGATCTTCAAAGAGCTGAAGCATCCATTGAACAGAAGACAAAAGGCACTCATTTACCCCTGAATGTGACAATGTGTAATATTGTTAGTAGATTGTACTTGCCAAGAATGCTAGCAATAAATTGAATGTAAGGAAATTGAAAGTCAGACACCTTAGGAGTGATTTATATAGAAATAAGTCTGTTCTTTGAGAAAGGATGATAAACTAGTTTCTCAGACCAGCCTGACAGTGTCCATACCTTAAGTGAAAACATCTAAGCCAAACAAAGCATTATACTGCCATGGAAAAATAACTGTTCCAGTGCTCCAAAGAATGAGGAGAAAAGTGATAATTCATGGAATTCCTAGTGAAACAAGTAGACCAGTCCATCTACACAAGGTGCCTCCCACAGTTTCATGTATTGTACCTCCATAGTATTCCAGTAAAAGAGTGACAATGGATAATGCAATCCATAAATTCAGGAGGATAAAATTCTGTCTCCATTGAAGTCAGTGCAAAATTTCACCCTTTTCAGAATCAGGATTTTAGCCTTAAGTGCTTTTATTTTCAAATATTCACAGTGAGGAGGTGACTGTTTTTCAGCACTTAGCCCCTCAATTTGTTACCTGCTCCTAAAAAAAATGCATATTATCAGATTTTAAGAGCTGTATTTAACACTTAGCGCCACTGGCTTCTTATGCATTTCAGGAACCTGATAACAATACTAATTAAAATAAATAACTTTGGTTTTAGCCATCATCATTGCTGGATTGGATTCAGACATTCGTTCTTCCTTCTTCCCCCTCTGTCCATCCTGCACTAGCTTTCTTTCATTGCTTATTATATCTCCTTTTTCCCCTTCACTGCTTCTTTTCAAGACTTAGCTGAAAGTGACTGTTTCTTTTAAACAATATAATAACAAGGAGCATTTATTGTTTCATTCGAGTATGTCACTGGGGAGAAGAAGAGGTTTGGTCTAGGATACTCAATACATGCAAGACTGCCTGAAAACACAACACTACTCTTGGTTTGCCTGTACATATATCCCTAAAAAAGGCAGGAAAAAAAAAAATGTTTTCTAGTGCTTGCAGGCTTCCAGAGGGGAGCCTGCTAAAATCCAAGTGAATCTGTCACCATAAATGATGGAATCCTACAAGACAAGAGTGGGGATTAGCCTGACAAAACATCTGCCTATGTCAACACAGTGTCAACTGAAACAAAGCTCCACCAGACACTGATCCAGGCAACTTAACGCCTGCACTCCGCCACCACCTCCCCACTGACAGCTGGGCATGCTGGCAAAGCATGTCTGCTTCTCCCTGACACCGCTGAAATACTGCAAAGCTCAGTGTAAGTGTGGCTCCCTGACAGCTCTGCCTTAGGACTTCACACCAAAACCATGTACAGTGCTATAAATGCTTCGCTCTCCCTTGCTGCAAATAGATAAGATTTTATTTCTCCCAAGAAGACAATCTTACTTACTTGGGATAGCGCCTCTGCTGAAAGATGGGCAGAATCTCTGTGTCTTGATTTGAATGTAGAAGCAGTAAATCCCGAAATCTTTCTGTCAGGACAAAGAAAAAAAAGAAGGAAAGAAAAAAAAAAAAAAACAAACCCAGACTGTGACTCTGCATTTTAAGTTCAGGCCACAAGTAAGCAATCAGTAACATCAGTGAATTCTCTTCTGCAGCAATATTTACCAGAGGAAAATCTAAGTGTATATGGAATAAAATTTATATATTCATACAAAACTGCTTCTAGACTAGAAATCACTGTTTCTTCTAATAGGAATTCCTTTAATAATATTTTAAAATGCCATTTTTTTCATCTAATATTGAATTCTAGTAGTGCTTACAAGTTTCTGGGGTCTGCATGCAGGTCTTCTGTGTATTATACACAGCCATAAACAGGCCCTGCCTTGAAGAGCTTAGTCTAAACAGAAAGCAGGAGCAATTAAGAATTCACCAGTCATTCAAGGATCACTGTCATCTAAATAAACATCGATGAATTAATTAATCTAACTTAAATTGTAGTAAGAGTCCTTCAGTAACTGATTCACTGGTATTTTCAATGATGGTTGGGAGACTGTATTGCCTTTTGTTCACTACTACCCTGGAAGATAGGAATCTCCTCAAAATTCACTTGATACCAAGATTCGGGGATAGAAAGGAATTTCCCACACAGGTCAAATCTCCTTAGAATACCCTATAGCTCTCCATCGCATGGGATATGCTCTGTTTCCTTCCTCCCTTCCATCACCTGCAACTTTTATTTAACCAGTCCTCCAGTGGCTCAGAAACCTAGAACACCAGTCCTACTCACCTGCTACTCTTCCTGCAATACCTTATAACTGTGGCTTGAAGTCTTCAGGTACAGGTTTTATCCTTCACTTGCTAAACCACAGTTTGCAGACTGTGTTGTGTGTAGTAGCTCTGCCATGGGTTTCTCTAACTAGCTATCTTTTCCATACAAGTTTTTCATTCTGGGAACTGAACCAGAGGATAAGTGTAGTCCCTCCTCCCATTATATCCCTATGTATCTTAAAATATCCTCTAACACCAGGTTTACAGATAAGGAAATCAAGGGACAGAAAACCAGTGGAGAAAAAAACATGAAACTCCCACCTGTGAAAAGGAATGATAGCAGTTTTCTTATTTCTTACACATTAGTATATGATGGCTTTCTTAATATTCATTTTTATGTACTGTTATGTCATCATAACTAAACTCCACTAATTTAGATACAATTCTGTTATGTAGCCTCTAAAATGGAAAAAAAAAAAAAAAAAAAACCAAACCCAAACAAAAAAAAACCACCCATACTTGATAAAGTTATAAAACTTTGAAGAAAGCATAATAATTTCAGAAGAAAAATTCTCCTGTTCAGGCTTCAGTTTTAAAGGTCAATTGTCTCAGATGGCCTGACTGAGTCTTCCACCAGCTGGCTAAGATGTATTGCAAACACCTCGGAGAAGATACCAGGATCTGTCAGTGAAGAAACAAAGGCTGATACTCAGTATCTTCATTCCTTTATTTCTACACATCTTCAGATTCAATTCGGAAAGAAATAAGCACTTGTACCCCAAAAATTCTTACTGCATTTTCAAAATGTAGCTTGGCTTTCCCTGTACCTAACCTGGACAGAGATTGGATGTGGCCAACAACAATAAATACAATGCTGTAAAGATGGAGGTGAAACTCAATGAGCCTGCTCATTGTCATGACAAAAAGCTTGCGATTCCAGCTACTTCTTGAATTTTTAGAAAGATGCAGAGATTTACTTTTTTCTCAGTCTCTGGTACGTGGCAATATGCTGTATGAGGGCATGCCCTGTCATCCTTAAAGATGATATGATATGTGATATGATTTTCAAAAGCCACTGGGCAAGAACTGAAAGATTTTGGGAAGCTTCCATTGGTGCAAAAAATTCAACTGTATACATATCAGAGTGAGCACATTAACTTCCACCCCTACCTCAGGAATCTCCCAATGCAACTCAAGCTACTGGTGCATTTCTAGGAACCCTTTGTAAAAAGGGTTTATATGTACAACAGTCTTTGTATGTGCCTGGTGGAGGAATGAGATGAAGTTTTCAATGACAAACATTGAACAATACCACTTCCTTCCATGACTTGAGGATTTTCACCTCTATAACATGGTGCCATAATTAAGAATTTGGTTTTGGGGTACTCTGATTTATTTACTTTTTAGGGACTATAACCAGGTGCAACAGCAATTCAAAGCATGGAGAGACATGATCTTCTTCAGTTCAATACTGCACAACACCACATTACATGTGAGTGAGGTTGGTTTGGCAGACCTTGCAAAGGGCCTGCGACTCTCTGGGAGAGACAAAACACATCTTGGCGAGGACACAGATATGTTCCACTCCATTGTTCTTCCCAAGATGAATGGCACCCAGGCAGAGAGTCATATTCCACCTCTATCCCCTAGTCTGTGACTATTTCTTGTGCTGCTGCCCTTTCCCGTTGATCCAGGCCACCTGCCTACACTCCTGGACTCAATTCAACAAGCTGCAATCTTGAAATTATTTTGAATAGCAATGTGTCAGGGCTGGCCAGTACTGGAGTGAAAGCAGCCAAGTTATGGCATCTGAAATTGGCCTAAACAGCTTCCCTACTGGATCTTGTTTTAGTTAAAGTGAACTTTTATTTTTTTCCCCACACTATGGCAAATTTCCCAAGCAGATGTATTTTCTTTTCACCATATGACTTTACTCATTTTTCCATGGCAACACTTATGCTAGATGGTAGCGTTCCACCTCATTTCAAATACATCCTACAACTTCCTCCAGCACATGTAGCCTCCATGTCCTGTAAATCCTCTTAAGAGATATGGCACACTGAAAAGAAGCTTTTAGGATTAATTTGTCCCATAGGACCATTATGCACATGCTTCACCCTTTAGGTCTATGATATTCTCATGTTACATGTATGTGTGCAGAGTACAAAAGTCACAGTCATGCAAATGACACTACTGCCTTTGAGGACTATTAAGCAAGGTGATGAGGGAGGTGATGAGAGCTTTGGCAGCTACTGATAGAACACAGGTACTTTTGGTGCTCTGACAAAGGTGAGTATCAGAAGCCTAACACTTGGTATGAGAAGGTTTTTCAATTTGCAAGAAAAAAATCACAATAATACCTTCCGAGGGGGGGAATTTTTTTCATAAGACTAAGATTTTCTTCTAATCCATACTACAACAAATAAAAGACTTGAGAACTGATGAAACTAATACTTGGATGATTTTTACTTTATTTTGACTAGCAATCTCTAGTTGATCAATAGAACCAAACCAAGTCATAGACAATCTTATCATGACTTTGATCATTTTAGAGAGACATTTCCCAAAATTGAGTCTTTTCCATCACTTCCTACAGTTTAGTATGCAGTGTGTGATGTTTTTGTCTAGGTGTTGGCTTGGTTTGTTACCAAAACATGAATATCATTTACTTAACCAAGTTTTACAAGGCTTACTTCTGAAAACCTGCAATTATTATATTTGTCCCTCATTCTATCCATGCAGTTCACATCAGTTTAAGTCTGTACTAGCTAGTCTCCTAATGATTTTTTACATTGTTCTGAGATTACTTATGGCATTGATTGCTTTGTCACTCTGTCGAGTGTGACACTGCAGACACTGTCTCACTGACTCTCCCATAAGTCTACCCACAGGACGAAGTTCTCATGGACATCAAGAATGGTTGCACAGTCATGTCTTCTGCTCAAACTTGTCTTCTCAGCATGTTAAGCATCTCCACTTCCTCCTGGTTTTCATTTTGAGTGCATAGTTCCTTCCAATTCCTTGGTCAGTGAAAATCCCTCAATTACATTTAGGCAGTCCCACTGAGATCATATATGCTTAGCTAAATGTGTAGCATGGTTACCTGTGATGACTAGGGGCTGGATGTAATAACACAGTCTTATGCCCTGACCTCCTAAATCAGGAAAGTTGTGGACTGTAAAGAGGAAGAGAAAGTTTGCCGTTGAAAAATTTAAAGATTTAATCCATCCTCTTAATTATACCTCTCTTCCCTGTCTCTCATCTAATTCTTCCTTCTTTTCCACCCTTTGTTCCCCTCCCAGCTCAACATATTCAGAAGTCACCTACTGGAATCTCAGTATAAATGCCCACTAACATCTGTGTAATACCTGTTATGACAAACTAGTTATGAATTTACAAGGACAGAAGGATGCATTTCAAGGGAAATTTTCCCTTTGAAACATTTACATGCATGTCACTGCTGTTCTCAAGGAGAATGGGCCTGTGCTCAGCTTGGTGAGTAAATGGTAATGCCAGAATAATTTGAGCAAGAATGGACATATGGTCTGAAGCCCTTTCAAACTGGCTACACAACCAAGTTCCCTTTTTTCTGGGACACACTCTTAGAGGGGTGGAAAGACAGAGATAAGGAAATTTTATGATAATATTTTAGTATCTGGGGCTCTCAAAGCAAAGAAAAACAATTTGCACAGAAGAACCCTGTGAATTAAAGCCCACGATTAGAGAGAGATGCTATGACACAGGGAGCACTGGCCTTGGTTTTTGAAGCTGTCGCATCCCTGAAGCTCTTACTGCTTTAACACTTCAAAGATGAAGCCAGAAGTCACACACTGCAGTTGTGTCAGGTTTGACTTTAAAAGTCAGGTGGTGTTGTTCTTCTTTCCTTTCTCCTTCTTGTTACAAAATACTTTACAGAAAATAACAGCAAAGTCACTGCTGAATTCTAAGGGTCTTGAAAATTCAGATTCCTGTTCTTTCAGAGTTTGATGGGTCGGTACCTATGAGGCCACAGCAGCATATAACTGAAGTCTGAGATATTACTGTTTTGTTTATCCCAACCACCTTTTACCCAGCAGCTTCAGACCACTCTGAACCTCTAATAGAAACAGGTTGAATTGCATGGAATCAACTCAATTAAGAACATTGTAAAACTGATGGTAATTGCTTTTTATAGGATAAGATTTTTTTATATCAGTTTTATGGATTATATATATATATATATTTTTTTAAATCAAAGTTCATAAGAATAAACAGAAATGTG